TTCAGTGGCATTTACACAGATAGCCTCAGGTCATACAGGACATTCCAGTGAATTACCTGTTAATTTGGAGACAGGATTCACTGCAGGTATCTGCTTTCTCTCCTGAGATGCGTGTCTGGCGCTGCAGCTGTACCTGTTGCCGTTGTCCCAGTCCACTTTTGAGACTCTAAACAGACTGGTGACAGAGTATTTATCCCCAGTCTTCAGTGGCTCTCCAGTAATACCCTCCTCATACTTCCCCCCATTTACTTCCCACATGATATATATTTCCTCAGGATAGAAGCCTGTTACCAGGCAGAGCAGGAAGAATTCACTTTTTCCATTAAGGTCTTCAGGAGATGGTGTTTGGATGGAGACTGTAGGTGTCGTAGATCCTGAAATCAGTTGTTAAAAACACTTTCGTGAGTTTTCTTTACATCAATGAATTTAATCTTAAGAAACATTACAGACACTCCTGACTTAACAACCTGTCTGTTTAACGACCGCCCGGACTTACTCTCCGACCACTCGGTATTGCGCACGGCGTTTCTAAACTCCAGACGTGCACAAGGTTAAAGTTTGCCTGTGTCTTATACTTTCTTTACATCGTCGAAAGCAATGGCTGTAAGTTTTTACTTGTTTCATACCTTAGTCAATATGTACAAGATATTATTTTATATGTGTTGTTTTAGTTTGCTAATGTGCAAAAGGAAGGAAACAGCGATTCATCGGAGTGCAGTGATGCTAACTTCTGATACAAGACAATATATGTTAGCATATCATTCGTTTGTAATTCGGTTGATGATTAACGTGAGCTCTTATCGGCCAGCTTGTTGTAAGTTTGCTGTGCTAAATGAGAGATCTTCCTGTGTTTTGTTTATTACAGTTTCACTCATAAATTTTAACCTGTCACATTTACGGAGAAAGACGTAGCGGTAGCAGCACACTGTTTATTACGGCAGATAGACAGACGGACAGATACTTTACTACTGGAAACGTTGACACTCGCGGCAGGACCGGAAGTGCACTACCCTTTAAATTTATATTACATATTAAAATTAATTATTAATAAAAATCAAATAAACTATATTAAAACATTGCCTAAAGAAAAGTACAACATGCTTGAAATATCGGTAAGGGGCGGCTCCTCGCTTATCGCCCGATTCATTTAACGACCTATAGTTGGAGCGGAAATCGGTCATTAAGTGAGGAGTGTCTGTAATTCTGTTTAAGATTTTAACTCTGACTGTGTACTTTGAAATATACCTTTTTGTGCAAGACTGAGGGTCTTAGTGATGGTAGGACCACCCTTATTCTGCACACGGCACTTCACTGTTTTGCCACCTTCCCAGTCCTTCTCTGCCAGAGTCAGGATGCTGCTCCTCCTGAAGGAATGAACTGTATT